TCCACACCCCACTTTTTCCAAACTATTCCTCTTTCCCGACTGCTTGATGAAGAAATACTTTTCCAACATCCCTATGACTCATCGGTCTTTAAATTCCCCTTTTTACCCCTGTGTTGTGTCCCCTCTTGGGAAATACCCCCTGTCCCCCTTGTTGATTGCTTTCAGTATTTTAAAGTCGTTATCATTCCTCCCTATCCCTTTCCCGCCCCAGGTCATCAGGGCGAGTTCCTTAACCTCTCCTCTTAGGACATGCCCTTTGCTCCGGGGCTATCCGTCTGAACTTTGTCAAATTTCCCGACGTGCTTGGGCAGGTGGGATTCCAAAGTGGAGCTCATACTCCAAAATTTGGGGCCGACATACACGGTAATAAGTAAGTTTATTCAGGTATACACAAATAAGTTTTTTTAAAAATTATCATACAAGCACAAATTTTGTAAGAAAATGGGAAACCCAAAAAAATCAGACAGAGTGACTTTTTCCATTGGGGTCCTTTTACCTTTTTATTATAATAAAAGGGTTTAAAATTTCTTTTTATTCTAAATGAAGATAACATCTTTTTATCATACAAAAACTATCTAACACGAGGGTCATTAAGACTTCTACAAAACGAGGGTCATTAAGGGAAAAGGTAAAATTTTCACGTAGTTAGCTAAAAAATAGAAAATATTCCCCCCTTTCTGTAGCTACATTATCAGACCCCCTTTTTCACCTTCTTGAACTGGGTTTATGCTGTGACGGCTTGACATGTGGGGTAGTCTGTTCCATTCCTTTATTGCGTACAATAAAAGGTGTTTGAAACCTGGGGCCCCTGACTGTGGTACTACAAAGTTGTCTCTCTCCCCCCCAGACTATGATTCTTTGTTCCCAACCTTTACAAAATGACACAAGATATTCTGGCAAATGTTTGGAACAATTTTAAACATGATTTAGCTTTAGTTTTTTTTACTCTGTCTTCAACATTCAGCATATCCAACTGCTGTAATTCATTATGGCCTATATGTTTTCTTGGGCCCACCCCCCCGGATAATCTTACGAATTTTTTTCTGGGGGTTTGCGTCTATCTTTCCGTTTTTTTGTCAAAAAAGAGTACCCTGAAGAGCAAGCGTAATCCCCATGGCATTGTTTTAAAAAGGGTGAATAGGTCCTGCGAGCCTCAGTAGGGAAAACTGTGCTTGTTAACAAAATTCTTTTGGTTCGCTTTCTTTACACATGTTTTTTATCAATTTCCCTCCCAAAACCCCAACCCAAAGCATAAAATCCCATAATGAATCCCTTTTACGCTATCATAAGCCCCCCCCAAACCAGAGCCAAAACACCCCCTCCCCCCTCCCCCCCATGCTCTATAAAAAACCCCAATAGCTCCATGCCCTTCATACATTGATCTACCCGGTATGCCCAATTTTCCTTAAATTACTTTACCTAAAACCCGTTTGATTCTGTTCCCTAAAACCCTTGCAAAAAACTTATAATCACCCACAAAGCGATATTTCACGGTAAACTTCTACGTGATTTTTCCACCCTTTTGGGATAAACAAAAAACGCACCTTTGCGCTCACCCTTGCCCCATTTCCTTTATTACATTGAACAAATTTTACTAAAAATCTCAATACTTCCCATTCTTAATAAAAATCATTAGGCAACCCTCTACACCCGGGGGCCTTACCTAAACTTTCACCTCAAGCTTGCCAAATTTTCCCCCTTTCCCAATCGTCCCCTTTCCCAAAGTCCCTATCTCTACCATCAAACTCGCATTTCACATAACCCCCCATTTCCCTTTAAAACATCATCTGTCACCCACATGTTGTGCAAAGAAAACCATGATCAAAATCCATCAATAACCTTTAGTCGACATCAATACCCTGCCCTTCCCCATACCCCCCCTCCCACAGAACAGTTAACCCACATCTCCGTGGCGCCCTCCTCTTCTGCTGTCCCCTTAAATCACCGCCGAAGGCCTATCCCCTAAGACCTCCTCCAAGCTTCCAGCCCCCATGCACCTCAAACGATCATTTTGCAAACCCTTGATACGTTGCTTAAATCCTCTATTTTTCCACAGGATCCGCACCACACCCACATAACAATTTCGTAACTGTCCTTCTAAAACCCCCGAGCCCCTAAAAATTGTTACTTTTCCCCCCCAAGTCGAACATAATAATCCCCAATACGTTTTTTTAGCCACCACATCCCCCCACCAAACCCAAATCTCCACCCCCGGAGCCCCCGCTAAAAACCCTCCCAAAAACACTCAAAAAAATTTCCTATTCTCCTCCCTTTTAACAATTTAACATTCAAAATTTCCCAAAACTACAACCCCTCTTAGGTAAACCCCCCCACCCGCTCCACAAAACTCCTCATGATCAGAAAACACCACATCTAAAATAGCACACTATTAACAAAGATGGGCGTGAACGTACACTCTATCAAGTCGCCCGCTATCCCCGACGACAAAAGTATCTCAACCTCCCCCCCCCCCACCACGTCCATTTAAACCCACCCCTGACATTAAATCTCCCAAAACCCCCGAAAAATACCCACTTCCCGAGGGGTTTTTTCCTTACGCCGGATCACGCAATTCCCAAACCCGCCCACAAAAGCTACTTCAGGGGTGACCCCAAAAATAAATTAACACCTCTTTCACAAAGAGATTTTTTACACGCCCATCATTCTCGGCGGACCTACACACACACAAAAGCACCTTCACCTCCCCATAGTCCTTCCCCTTATTTTCCTCCCCCCCCCCCCTTACTACGTCTCACAAAAAAGGGGAAAACTCCCTGACATGATGCAACGCCACCTTTCCCCGAACGATTTCCATGAACTTATATCCTTTTATCCGCAAATTTACTGCCACATTTTGATTGTGTTTCCCGTATGAACACAAGTCCACATTTTTTACGCACCAATAAATCACGAACCATGCACATTTCGTACGTTCGCAAAACCCTTAATGTTTTTTTTGAGGGACTTAAAATCGACAATATGGTTTTCCCCTTTCGACACAATGTTTTTTTACTAATTTTTTTTTTCCAATTTTTCCCTTCCCCCCCTTTTGAAACACTCCTGTCATTTCCCCGATTTGGGGCACAGGACCCCTTTTTGTGCCCCATCCGCCCATGATTTTTTTCCCTTTCTTTGGCTGGCTTAACACTCATCAGAATCTGAAAATGAAAAAAGCGTTTTCGTGTTTCCCCTTTCCACCCGCATTTTTGTCGTCCACGTGCAATCCCGGTGGATTTTCCCCCCCACCGTTTTTTTCAGCAAGGCGTCAGTGGCGTCCCCCCAGCTCACGCGTGACCCCGTCCGCCCCTCGCAGCCCCGTCCCAAGTCTAGGGGTGGTGCCGTCGCAGGATCATGCTGTCCTCCGTAAATAATTCTCAACACAGAGACAAGGGTTTCCACATCATTGGCCTGCTCTTCTCGCGAAGCCGTTTTCCCTCTGGGCTGCTCCCAAGGGAGGCGACACTTCGGGAGTGACAACACCGTATTCAGATTATTATTATTATAATCAAGGGGAAGCGCTAAACCCGGAGGATTATACAGCGCCTGGGGGGGATGTGGAAGGCATTCAGGCTTAATTCGGGGAACTGGAGCACAGATCCAATTCCCTAAATCAAGAGCCCCTCACCAACATCAAGGAACCTTCCTTGAGGGGACCGTATTCAGAGACCTCTCAACCTCTTCGCTCCAAGACAATCTTGAGGGTTGCACAGGCGCATCTTGCCTTATACCTTCCTCCCCTAAATCCTTGCTCTGTTGTACAACCCTGGCACCTCGTCTCCTTTCACACTGCACCGCCAAATGATCATATGCTCCACACAACCTACAAGTGCGGCGTTGCCCTGCATAAGTCACAAATACCTGAGTCCTGAAATCTTGCAGGATCACATATGAAGGGATTGGATGTCGTAATGTCATTTTTACCGAAAAAGTTCCCTCAGGTAGTCCTTCATATGGGCCATCAGGCCACCTCCCTGCTGTAGCCATGTGTATGGTGCCGTAATTACCCAGGGCAGCACGTATATCAGTCGCATCAGCCTCAAAGGGTACGTTTCTGACTTTTACCCATGTATAATGGCGGGATACATTGTGTAGCTTCACAGACACAGCCTGGTTAACCACCAGATTAACCTCTTGATACTTGTCGACGACATTCTCGTAAACTTGCGCTGAGCAAAACTTTACAAAGATTCCGTCACACCATTCATCGCTACACCGCACAAATCCTCGTTGGCGATACCATAGGTGTCTCGGATTATCGCTGGCAATAATATCGCCATTGATGGTCCAAGCACTGTCCCACGAGTTAATTCCAAACACACAGTGTTGACGCGGCGTCTGGCTACCTGCGCCATGTTGAGAAAATGAAACTGCCACCGAACAGCTATAGAGGGCAGCAGTGTAGAACACGTCCTCTCTACTCAATGCTGAGAGACGAATATTATTCGGTTAATTAACCTTGATGAAAGAAGTTGTCTCCTAGCCTTGATTCAGGGTGTTCAGTCCCTTAGCCTAAAGCAGAGGCATGAGGATGGAGATATACGAGCTTGTATACTGGAACCAAAAGTGAGAGTGCAGCAGTAGGAGACGGCGTCACAGAAGGGAGGGCACCGTTAGTGGAATTCATCAGCTTGTCGGTATTAGCATGGACCAGTAGGCCTACTGAAGTTTATTAGTTCTTTTATAAGGGAGCCCTTGGAGACGTGTATTAGAAGGTGGAGTTACCTGCTACTAACTACTATTTTAACTACCATTACTACTACTGTTACTATTTCTACTACTACTACTGCCACTAACTACTATTCACTTCTACTATTACTTACTTCCTACCTGATATACCTGGCCCGACATTTCTTCTGGTCTGTTTCTTCTCGCTCATCTGTGACTTAATAATGGTCCAGGATGAACCGAAATGTCATATTCAGTTCCTCTTCTAAGTTTGGGTTATCAGCACTTAAAGCAGAAATGATGTATTATAAGTGAATCTTTCTGAAAGGACCAACCTGTGAACTTGATGTCAGACCTCGGTCCACGACCATCACCACTTAGACGAACAGTCATTCCCTGCACAACCATCGCTGTATATGCTAAGTGGAGAGGAGGAAAAGGAATATGGGTGGGCGTTACTGGTGTTGCTCACCCATCGGGAGGAGTGTGGTACATACTGAGCCTCGTCCATGATGACACTGGACGCTAAGAGTTCCAAGAAAAATACTCTAGAAACTAGTATGACGTATGGTGGTGTGGCCAATCGTACAAGGTGGCTCTTGCCTCATGATTCTTTATTATCTTGTCTCTGCATTCTACACCTTATCCTCATTATTCCTAACATGCCTTGGCGATACATGTTTTTTTAATCACTGTAAGACTCGAGGAAACTCATATTTATTTATTTTTTGTTATACGAGTATTACAGCAATAGATTAAATGGCAACATCACAAATATTGATTCCATATACATTGATGGTCTGGTTAGATCTACCATAGACAAGTTTACCATAGGGAAAGGGTTGAATCCCTCCCCCATCTTGATGGTACAGGCTGGCTGTTTGCATAACTACCCTGACAACCCTCTCTTACCTTGCTCATATTAGATAATATACATGCACAGTGATCGACATCTTTTTTTTATCATCTGTAACCTTGTAATCTGCTGGACTATCATCCCCCATGACATGATAAATTGCATTAATATTATAGTATTCAAGTATTATTAGGCTTCGGTGAGGTGATAAACCTACAGGGGTCATACAACACCTGGGGATGGAACACAATCAGATTCTGTCCTAGGAAGCAATAATTCGACCCCTGCAACAATTAGGCAAGTACAAGTTCATTCTTTATATTAGAAGACCCTCACTAGCATAAAAAGAAACTTTCTCTATGAGGGTTTATTATACTGAAGAGCATGCTGAGAACCTGTTTGTGTGATACAATACACAACAGTGTGCAAATTAACTAGGACAGGAGTAAATTTTGTGATTATTTAATGTCTTAGTCTCAGGTTTAATTAATGTTTACCTGGAATTTATCTGGAGAGGGTTTTTGGGGGTCAACACCCCCGCAGCCCGGTCTGAAACCAGGCCTCGTGATGCATCTTGGTCTGATCAACCAGGCTGTTACGCTGGCCACACATAAACCGATGTACTAACTACAGTTTGACTTCTTTTCAGAAGTTTGCTACTGACTTCTGGCAACCATCCAGCTATGGTGTTACCCTGTGACTCTCATCATGCTACAACAGCTGTTGTTCTGTAAGGCTATTCCTGAATTTGGTTTTGCCAAATTCTCCCCATTAATTCATGATTACTGCTGAAATTCATGATGGTTGTTACACCTAGGAAGTGTGTAAGTATTATAGCTCTTAGAAAACATGCTGATTTGAGTATCAGACAGATCGCCAAAAATTTGAGCCTAGTAAAATCAACTGTTGGTTGGATTTTGAAGTGAGCTGACAACATGGGTTACTGTGGAGCAGCAGTGAGGAAGATGTGGAAGAAAATGCAAGACAACACCTCGCAGTGAAAAAGTTATAAGAAATACTGTGAAGGATTCCATGAAAACCAACAAAGATCTATCGAGAGATTTGGCTTCACCTAGCGTAAATGATGATTCTTCAACTATTCAACAAAGGCTCCTTGAATTTGCAGAACTGCCAGAAAGCCAGTAAAAACAACAACTATTGGCTGCTGCCTTGAAGAAAAAAACGGTTGTAGTGGGCATTCGATCAGATGTGCATTTTGAAGTACGTGGGTACAGATCAGTGGTAGTGAGACAGAGCAAAGTGAACCTCTTCAAAAATGGACACATTCTGTAAGCGACAAAACACCCACTTAAGATATTTTGGAGTAGTTTTACTGTTAAAGGCCATGGACGGCTTGTTATTGTTGAGGGAATTATGAACAGTGACAAATACAAGGCAATCCTGGCAACTCATTTGCTTCCCATTGTGGATAGAGACTTTCCTGATGGAGAAGGCATTTTCCAGCAAGATCTTGTTCCATACCACACTTCCAGAAAAATACTGATACTCTAAAGAGAGTAGGCTAAGAGTTGTAAATTGGCCTGGAAACTCTCCTTACCTCAACCCAATTGAGAATATATGGGTAATAACTAAACACAGGATTGCAAAACAGGGCTATGGACAACCTAATTGCTGCTGTTATTAGGACCTGGTACCACGACTAAGAACTTACCAAAATGTGTTCAAAATTTGGTAAAATTAAAAAAGTAAAAATGGTTAATAAAATGACCAATTTTGTGCTTGTCACATATATTAAAAAATATATTGTATGTAAGTTAAAAGTGTAGCTGAATTTGTGTAAAAAAATTTTTGAATGACTTCAAGCAAATTTGGTAAAAAAAAGAAACTTTCGGGCCACCCTTAGTGGATGACATGTTGCTGAAGTGAGATTTCCCTGTCCCCCGTAACTGCTGCATTGTAAATAAGTTTATAAAAGATTACTGATACATTAAAATAATTTTAATGCACATGCTTTTCATTTTTCCAAATCACTTACAACAATATTGCTGTAATTATCTCGTCTGATTATTATAAATTTCAACATACATGCCTTAGACAAGGATGTGTGATGTCACCGTGGTTTTTTAAAATATATTTATAAGATGGGGTTGTAAGAGAAGTAAATGCGAGGGTCTTGGCAAGAGGCTTGGAGTTAACAGATAAAGAATCAACATAAAGGGGGAGTTGTCACAGTTGCTCTTTGCTGATGACACTGTGCTTTTGGGGAGATTCTGAAGAGAAGTTGCAGAGATTGGTGGATGAATTTGGTAGGGTGTGCAAAAGAAGAAAACTAAAAGTGAATACGGGAAAGAGTAAGGTTATGAGGATAACAAAAAGATTTAGGTGATGAAAGATTGGCTATCAGTTTTGGAGGGAGAGAGTATGGAGGAGGTGAATGTATTCAGATATTTGGGAGTGGAGTGTCCAGCGGATGGGGTCTATGAAGGATGAGGTGAATCATAAAATTTTGATTGAGGGGAAAAGGGTGGTGGTGCACTTAGGAGTCTGTGGAGACAAAGAACTTTGTCCTTGGAGGCAAAGAGGGGAATGTATGAGAGTATAGTTTTTACCAACGCTCTTATAGGGGTGTGAAGCATGGGTGATGAATGTTGCGCGAGGAAAGGCTGGGGGCAGTGGAGATGTCATGTCTGAGGGCAATGTGTGTGTGAATATAATGCGGGAGAATTCGTAGTTTGGAAGTTAGGAGGAGGTGCGGGATTACCAAAACTGTTGTCCGAGGGCTGAGGAAGGCTTGTTGGGGTTTGGTTCGGACATGTAGAGAGAATGGAGTGAAACAGAATGACTTCAAGAGTGTATCAGTCTGTAGTGGAAGGAAGGCGGAGTAGGAGTTGGCCTAGGAAAGGTTGGAGGGAGGGGTTAAAGGAGGTTTTGTGTGCGAGGGGCTTGGACTTCCAGCAGGCATGCGTGAGCGTGTTTGATAGGAGTGAATGGAGACAAATGGTTTTTAATACTTGAAGGGGCTGTTGGGGTGTGAGCAAAGTAACATTTATGAAGGGGTTCAGGGAAACTGGCAGGCCGGACTTGAGTCCTGGAGATGGGAAGTACAGTGCCTACACTCTGAAGGAGGGGTGTTAATGTTGTAGTTTAAAAACTGTAGTGTAAAGCACCCTTCTGGAAAGACAGTGATGGAGTGAATGATGGCGAAAGTTTTTCTTTTTCGGGCCACCCTTTCCTTGGTGGGAATCGGCCGTGTGATAAAAAATAAAATAAATAACATGCTGTGGATAAGTATTGTACAGCACTTGCGAAATTGCAGTTTACCTTGAATAAATTTATTAAATAATGAGAATAAATGACTATACACTTTGTTTAAAAATTTAAATTAGTTCAGCGATATTTAAAAAGGACTATTGAATTTTCATGACCATTTGGCTTGCCTTCAAAAACAATATTTTCATGTTAAAATTTTCCTATGATCAATTTCAAAACAATATATTATAATTTTAAACTGCCCTATATTAGATTATATTTTTCCAAAACAGCTTATTAGTCATAGATACCAAAACTAAAAACAAAATGCACTGGGATATTACACATTCACACACTGTAAATTTGAGCTCAGATGCCAAGAATGGTAATTATCACTACAGTAGTACACTACTCTATTAATCTAATCAAGGTACATCCCTGTATGTTTCTCAATAAATGTTGACATTTTTTATTACTAGTGCTTAAATTAAATACACTAGTAATGCTTTGTATAATGAACCAAAAAAATGTATAGCCAGACAGAACACATTATCAATATCAATGAATAAAACAGTTTTAATATACAGTAAAGTACCTAAGTGGAAACTCTAACACCAATAGAAATTTTGAAAATATTTCCTGCCATACCAGTGATGGTTATTGAGAATAAATTCCCTGAATTTGAAATGATCTTGTATTCCAACTAAAAGAACACTTGTAGGTATTCAGTGTTAACATTGAAAATCATTGCTGATGTTAATCAACATGAAAAATAATTATCTAATTATTGTACTGTACAGGTTTATTGTATTATGGCTGTACTTGACTATGAATTCTTCATGCAGACACTGGAACACCAGCTTATACAATAAAATATTTTGTGAAAATTTCTTGAGAAAGAAACCATGTACATTTACATTAAACTCTGTAGCAAACATCAGCCTTACTTCTAAGACTATTCTGGTTTCTACAAAATGTAATGCATACTATTGTTGAGTATAATGGCTTAATCAACTATTTTCTACGTTAATTTTGGCATATTAATTATTATTGGAATGTTCAATGCTATGCAAGTTTTTTTTATTAACTAATATTAATGTATTTATATACTGAGGTGGTTCGGACATGGAGCGAAACAGAATGACTTCAAGAGTGTATCAGTCTGTAGTGGAAGGAAGGCGGGGTAGGGGTCGGCCTAGGAAGGGTTGGAGGGAGGGGGTAAAGGAGGTTTTGTGTGCGAGGGGCTTGGACTTCCAGCAGGCATGCGTGAGCGTGTTTGATAGGAGTGAATGGAGACAAATGGTTTTTAATACTTGACGTGCTGTTGGAGTGTGAGCAAAGTAACATTTATGAAGGGATTCAGGGAAACCGGCAGGCCGGACTTGAGTCCTGGAGATGGGAAGTACAGTGCCTGCACTCTGAAGGAGGGGTGTTAATGTT